GGCCCGGGGCGGCCGGAGCGGAGCTGCCAACGCCGAAAGCTGTGGCAAAGCGTCCCAGAAAGCGGTGTGTCTTACAAAGGGAAGGCAGCAGCTGGTGCACGGGCACCAGTCAGGCTGACACACACGCTTGCAGAAATGCCTGTCGTTTGCTTTCCCAGCGGTCTGCTACTGCTTACGTCTGCTTTCTTTGCTTCACTGTGTTTGAATGCTTTACATAATCACCTTTCGCCCTGTAAGCTTCAAAAAGAAGCCAAGTAAAGTACTGACGCTATTCCACAGCGAGTAGCCAGAACCTGCAGTTTCATCTCGGATGGTGGTGTGCACACGCCATCCAGCCTACACGGGCGAGAAGAGTGTCTCTTGCTGTGAATGGAGCTCAGAGCTTCCAGTCTAGCTCCAGCTCAGTCTCTGCTAAATTGAAAGGCAGTTGTCAGCAAAACGATTCAGCTATCGAGAAGACAAAGCCAGGTAAGGGACTATAAAACTGTCACAGTGGGAAATTAATTTGCTTACTGCAATAACACGACAGCTTTTTCTCTCAAAAGATCCATCGTTCCAGTTGGGGGTAAGCTTTAGGATACAGGACGTGGTGCATCTGTTTCCTTCTAAGATGGGTCATGCTTTGTCCCTGCATTAAGAATGGCGATTGTGGGTCTATAATAAAGGATTCATTTGTGACTAGAATATAAAATGTATGGATATAAAATGTATGGATTCTACTAAGATCATTCTGCAGAACTAGCAGGTAAAACCTGATGAAGGAAGGACTGGATGGCAAATGGAAGAAAAGCTGCATCTACCCATCTTATAGCAGGTTTATTTGCTATTTTAAAGCCTTGCGATGGGTTTGATTGGTCTAAGAAGAGTCACTGGCTGAGGCCCAGGGCTCACTGTTTAATAGAGGAAGTGCATTGGTCTGCTAAAGATCAGAGTCCTGCTGGAAAAGTGACAGTGCACGAGTGCCCCTCCCTCCCTGCACACTGAATAGCTTACATCAAACCAACGGTTCCTTGCTGAAAGCATGCCTAATAATTCTTGCTAGCCAGTCAGCTTGGCATTTCTGTCCGTGTTCTAGAGTACCACTAGTGTTTCCAAGATACCAGCAGCACTTCTCTGCTGCCTCCCAAAACAACTCCTCTCTGGCCTGGGCTGCAATCACTCTGTAACCTTTAAATTTGATTTATTTGTAGGTCTCTTGATGTGAATCTTCAGGCTGTGCTTCACGTTTCCCAGGTGAGGAAGAGTTGTCACTGCAGTTGTCTCCATGAACAGCAGTGACTAAAGTCATTCTGCACAGCAGAGATAAGCGCCCACTGTGGGGGCTAAAGGGACTGTAATCCAAAGTCAGCCTGACAATGTGCACGCACAGCCCCTTCACTCTCTTGCTCTGACTCCACCTCTCGTAAGTGGGAGGCACTGAGGACTTAGTTCCTCTGGATGTTTTGGCTCTTTTGGCTACCATAACAGCCCAGGAAGATTCCTACTGAACGAGTTAATGATTTCTCCTGTTAGATTCTGGCATCCCTCTTTTTTTTAACTTCCTCCCCCAGATTGTTGCTCGGCAGATGATTGCACAGGGGGTGCCAGGTGCTATTGTAAACGTCTCTAGCCAGGCATCTCAGCGTGCTCTGCAGGATCATGCTGTTTACTGTAAGTATGTTTAGCTTTAGCACTGCCCCTCTCATTTTCCATTAGTTGGAGACCCACAGCCACCAAGCTGCTGGCTGACAGTTCTGGGCAGTGAAATACTTGTGCGTGTTCCAGACCAAGGGCTATGCACTTAAATGCCTCCTGTTTTTCCCTTCTCTTGAAGGTTCCACAAAAAGTGCTTTGGATATGCTGAGCAAGGTAATGGCAATGGAACTGGGACCCCACAAGGTAGGATTCTTTCATGGAAACAGAAGTGTGAAGGCTGAACCTGAGCATTTCCTCTCAGAGCAGTCTGGTTTGATTGTTTCTTGCTCTTGGTCTCAGATTAGGGTGAACACTGTGAACCCCACAGTGGTTATGACTGACATGGGGAGAATTAACTGGAGTGACCCTCAGAAGTCTGCTGCCATGATTAATCGGATTCCACTGGGAAAGTTTGCAGGTCAGTGGTGTATATTTGTTGCCAGGCTGGGCTCTTTGGTTGTATCCAAGCCTTCCCTCTAATTGACATCACAGCCATAGGTACCTTGCTGCTTTTGTGGGCAAAGTCACAACTCTGCTGAATGGCTGTGGTTGAATTCCTGAAGCATTTGATGAGGACAGGGCAAGAATCAACCTTATCTCCCCTCTTCTATAGCCAACTCATCTGAGGACAAGTGAAATGCACTTACTTAGGTGTTCATAAATATGACTGGGAGGGGGGCATAGGTGCTGGCTGTGAACTAAGTATCATTAGATCGCAACAAAGACTTTTTGATGTCTAGCCCTCAGCCACAGTGTCCTGTATACTGCATCAAGCACAGTCTGGTGGCAAAGATATGTCCCAGATCCAACTACATGTAGAGGTCAAAGACATACCTTTTGGGATGCTTGTTTTTCTAGTACAATTTGAGGGTTGCATCGGATGTTCTCTGTGTCTGATTCCAGAGGTGGATGATGTGGTGAACAGCATTCTCTTCCTGCTGATGACAACCGGCAGCTCGCTGATGGTTGATGGGGGATTTCTTGTCTCCTAAGATGACACCTGCATTTCACACCTAGCTTTAATTCTCATATTAGTTAGTACTGCATAGATGTAAACCGGATACAAAACAATGACACAGACCCAGTCTTGCTGGAGAAGAGGGGCAGCAGAGCTGGAACCTGTATGAGAAGTGAGGTGGAAAATTACCTTTAGAAGGCTGCTATATAATAAAGCTCACATACGCCGTCATGGAGAATGTTTATTGCACCAAATAAGGTTTTATCTTGTCACTCTACATGATGATTAGAAACTGGACCTGTCTTTCTTCCAACCCTGTTCCCCCCCCCCCACAACCCTTCAGAAGCTCTCCCTGTTCCATCCAAATCCATAGAGCCTGCCTGCACTTTCAGTGGGAAGGGAAGAAATAAATTAGCAGACTCCTCATTGCTTCCTTTGCCGTCTTTAGTAGAAAAAAAAACAAAACAGAGGCAACAACCACAGCCCTGCTCTGCAGAGACTGGATTTGGGGTGGGGGGGAGGCCCTGCTAAAGACTGACGGGGGGGAGCAGCACCATGCTGTCCTAGGGTGCGCACATACAAAAAGGCAAATACATCGATTGCACAGAGCTGTTTCACTCACTGAGTTTGGCTAGTACCCAGTAAAGCACCTAATGATTAGTTCTTCAGCTTCGTACCTCATTTACTTCGACCCCTTCTGGGTCTGGTCATGATTTCTTTAACAGTCTCAGGCACGCATCTGCTAGAGCACCAATTTGTTAACCGTTAGCCACAGTAGGCTGGACAAGGAGACCCTACCACTCTCCCAGCTGCTCTTGTCATTCAGCACGATTCATATCGGCTCCCTCCCCACTCCCACAAGGACCTTCACCACGTGTTTCACCTGCAGTTTGAAACCAGGTGTTTCTAGGACAGGATGGATGTCTCAGCCCTTTCAGCTTGGAGTTCAGGAGAGCCAAAACAGCCTGTTGCCCCAAGGAGCTACCTTGCCTTCCCCATTGTACCTCCCCTGGGGGCTGTACAGCCCCCAGCTAGTCTCCTGCCCCCACTGCCCCTTCACATCAACACTGACGTTAAATCAAAGAGACATTTAAAAAAACACTGACTTCGTACATGATGAAGGGCCCTACACATCCCAGCCCCCTCCAGAAACACCCAGCTAATATGCAATCTGTCAGAGGACGACAACATGCTGAGCCAGCACCCAGGCCACAGCCTTCAAAACACGGTACACTTTTTGCCAGGCTTCTTCACAGGCGGTGGGCAGAGCACAGCCCGGATGGCTTCATCAAACACTGTCTTCAAGCCCCGCTGCGTCAGGGCAGAGCACTCGAGGTACTTTACCGACCCTAGGGGAAAGAGAGCTCCAGCTCAGCCACTCCAGCCCACTGTCCCTCACCCACTGCAAAACAAAAAGCTCAATGCCATGGAGATCTGTCAGTACATGAGACTCACCAATCTCCCGAGCCATGGCCAAACCTTGGGGGTAGGTGATTGGGGCCAGTTTCTTATCACGTAACCTTTCAATGGTGTCCTTATCATCCCTCAAGTCCAGCTTGGTGCCCACCAGGATGATAGGTGTATTTGGGCAATGGTGTCGGACCTCAGGATACCACTGAAACAGAGAAGCATGATAAGAAAAGTAGCTATAGCAGTAGATGCAACCATGAGGATCTGTTTAGTATTACGAAGAAGGTTTTTACTACTGTCTCACGTGGTGGCAACACCTGAACAGGACACTTCTGCCTACAGCTCTGAGTATGCTCTGCCAAAAGAGGCTGGTGCAGATGTAATAATGAAGGCACTGAGACATGGAATCATGACAGACAGTGCCAGTCAACTCTGCACACAGTGCTACCCTTAACTGCATTTTAGCTTCTAGGAAATCCCTTATCTTCTTCAAGATGCAGATTCAAAAAGGCAAAAACTTAGCTAAAGAAGAAAAGAATAAAAAGTAGGCCCCTCTTAAAACCTGCAGACTATGACCTTCCCTTATCAGAACATGATTGCTAGAAATTTTAGACTGGTAGGTGTGGTGCTGGGTGGGGCATGGGACTTCACCAGTTCCTCCCTTCCACTGTTTGACCCAGGAGAATACTTTACCTTGGCTCTGACATTCTCAAAGGAGGCTGGACTCACAAGGGAGAAGCAGATCAAGAAAACATCCTGTGTGGAAACAAGAGGGTCAGCTGTGCAGAAAGAAACAGCTAGAGATAATGGAAGGAGGGTGGAGAGGGAGCCTTATAGAGGACAACTTCCTCCCACAAGCAACGACTGTGGCTGTAAGAAATTCTTCCCCAGTAAGGGTGCTAAACAAAGAGGGAAGGAATGGACTTTGAGTGTATGACTTCATCTTCTCCTACAATACTGAGCTCTGCGTGTTAAAAGCCTGCAGCCACAAAAACTTAACAGTGCTATGGGCTTCACCCCAGGTAAGGGGGCACACGTAGGAATTGCTGCAGCCAGGTAAGCATGACTAGTGCAGCCCAACTGTGAACTGTGCCACCAAGAGAGAATGGGAATATGGAACGTGGCTCAGCTGCACGGCAGCCCCATGCCATTCCTTTCACTTGAGCCTCCCTATGGCACACACAACTGTTCAATTGCCATTACGAAGCACAGACTACAGCAGGACAATCTCTTAGGAGAAATTCAGCTGTGATACTTATTAAACAACCAGAATTACGGCTACAGCTGCAGGAACTTATACTTTCCTCTCTGGAAAGAAGCCTGGCTGTCCTTGGGAGCCCCCCTGTCCCCAAGAGGGAGCAGTTACAAGCCAGTCCAAGCCCAGCACTTACTGTCTGTGGATACGAAAGAGGTCGCAGTCGGTCATAATCCTCTTGCCCCGCTGTATCCCAGAGGCCTAGGTTCACTGGCTTTCCATCTACCATGACATTGGCAGAATAGTTATCAAACCTGCCAAGGAAGAGTCTCCATCAGTGACAATCTTGTTGTGACCCACACAACTCTTTATATGAAATCCAAGGAGGCAGTGAATCCGGAGAGGCCATTGCAACACAGTTCCAGTGGGGACAGTCTGCCCTCCTCACATACACAGCCATACCAGCAGCATCCTCCTCGTGTGTGAACTTCATAGTCTGATTTAGGACAGCCCTCTCCTGACCTTACGAAACCAACTTTTACACATGCAGATACAGAGCAAAAAGCAACTGAAACCCAAGGCCATTACTCACACAGTGGGGATGTATTCTCCAGGAAAGGCATTCGTGGTGTAACTGATCAGCAAGCAGGTCTTCCCTACAGCTCTGCAGAGGACAAGAGTGACAAGCATAAAGAAAGGTACAGCAGGAAACTGTAAAACTCGCCCTTTCCTCACCCAAAAAAGAGGTTAGGTAAAAAGTCATCATGAGAAAACAAACCTGTACTAGGCTAGAATTCTCTAGCTGTCAGGGACCAGGCCTGAACTCACAATGTGCACCTTGCCTGAGCACTTACCTGACTCTGCTCTCTCCCACTCCTTTTCCCCAACCACTCAGCCTCAGCAAAATCATAGAATCATAGAATGGTTAGGGTTGGAAGGGACCTTAAAGATCATCTAGTTCCAACCCCCCTGCCATGGGCAGAGACACCCTCCACTACACCAGGTTGCCCAAAGCCTCATCCAACCTGGCCTTGAACACTTCCAGGGATGGGGCATCCACAACTTCTCTGGGCAATCAGAGAAGGCAGGCAAAATATATTTGTTCCAGGAACCAAATGAGAGGGAATAAATTAGGGTTCTGTGCTGGGCTCAACACATCCATAATAGTCTAGCAAAATGGTTTTCAGTGAGGTGAAAAAATGTGCAACAACACAGAATTATTCAAGCTCCTCAGACACAGGAATTCAATATCAATAAATACAAAGGGGGAAAATTAAGTATCCATAAACAAAACTGAACTTTAAAATTGACCACCGGCAGTCTGGAAAGAGATTTTGGCATCAACATAGATCAATAAAAATATCAGCTCAGGGTTTTGCTCAAGGCAGGTGAGATTGGTCAACCCAGTGGTGGCAGCTGGTTGTCAACAGTGTAAGCACTGAACTTTAGTTAGCCCTGGAGTATACGGGAAAAGCTTAGTTATAGGAACAGAGGAGCAGCAGGAGTGTAAACAACCTATTTACCACTGTGAAAGTTGTGAACTGTAGAGAACCTTCCAGAGAAACAGATTGTGAGTGCCAGTGACAGGGAAAGCTGTCTGTTAGGTGCCTGATGGGTATCCTCTACCCAATTCTGTAACTGGAGTGACATAAGGAAAGACTTCAGGAGTGAGAGACGCTCAGGGACCCCAGTCCTGCACCAGGACGACACAAAGCGCAGCAAGAACCACTATAGTAATCCACCCAGCTTTTCCCCTGGATCAGGTCTCCTCTCCTTGAGAACATCACTGCACTGATCAGCCCGACTTTCCTCCTGAACCACGACCTCTCTCCTACCAAAGAGGGAAGTCACACAATTCACAAAACCCCACGCATATCTATGATTAAAACGTTTTGGTGTCTGAGTTCATTTAGGCTCAGCACCATCGATGTGGTCTTAAAGCAAAACACCAGTCTGCAAACCGTCAGCCTAAGTCCATTTCCAACATGCTGTCCCCTGGTCATTACTCTCCCTGCCACAGTAAGGCTGTCCTGTTTGGTGGGTGCCTCCTTCTCCCGCTCCCCTCTTCAGCCCCCACAGGCTAGAACCTGAAAGGCCTCGCTCCAAACGTGTATTTGAAGGAGTGGCACACATGGGAAAGCGGAAAGAGCAATCCCTGCCTAAGACCTGTTCACATTTAGTTCTCCATATCTCAGCTCTGTACTTGCTATGGTGATCAGAAAAGCTAATAGGAATTATGAGGAAAAACATGCAGGACAAGCAAGGAAAAATTATGAAGCACCATAAATCTACTGCATGTCTGCCTCTTGCATACAGATGTGTTCAGAGAAAAAAAAAAGTCATATAGGAAAAGTCTAAAGAAAAGAGCAAAAAGGATGACAAGAGGTACATGGTGAAATCAGAAACAGCAACATATTTCACCTTGGAATATGAACAACAAAATGAGATATGAGAGAAACTTGTGAACTTCCAGATTTTTAGGGAGAACTTTGTGATAAAACACACCTGAACAATGAAAAATAGCTGAATACAGGCACCTAAGAGAGCAACGAGGAGACAGATTTAACCCCCCAAAAAGGTGTTTGTTTTCCAGGCAGCACACCGCCACACGCGAAACAGAA